ACTGTTTGTGGAGAATTACGTAGCTGACATATGATTCCTCACTGCATGTCTACAAGTCTCCTATCATCTAGCTCCTAATTCTGTAGTAAGCATCATTTAACATTGCTAAATATTTTTCATTGCTAAAATCCAATTTGGGCATACCCACTATTTAAAACATCTAGCTCACTAATTGCAAAATCTATAGGAAAGTCCTTACAACATCAAAGACTCACTTGATCCTCGGAGCTGTTATAAATGGAAAACTGTCTCTGTTACAAGCAAATAAGGCACTTAATGCACTCTTTCTGTCTGTGATGCTATTTTTCCTGTGGGTTTTGAGAATGACCTTCCTGTAAGCATCAAGGACTATAACTTTTCAGATAAAGAAACTCATTCTTGTTTTAAATCTATGTCAGGTTCATTCCCCTATAGCCCACAGTTTTCAAAAGCAGAAGAAAAAGTAATCCAGAATTAAAAAAAAAATAAAAACCCCTCTGTTTCCAGAACGAAGTTACCCTGTCAGCTTGCCTTGGGCCTTAGGTGGAGAAGTGGAGATTAAAGAGTCAGTATTCCTTTTCATGTTTCGTCTGCCAGTTTTGTGAATGTAGAAAGAGTACTTGTGGCTGCAGCTAAGTATCCAACAGTAGTATTAAGTGCAGCAATTTCATCCCCGTGCAGTAAATTAAAAATATTCTTATAAGTTTACCATGAGAGGAGTTCAGTATCAATACCATCCAGTCATTGATAAAGGTATTTCAAGGAGAAGGGTGAATAGCACAGCAGATGTAACCTCAATATTTTCACCAATTATAAAGAGCCTCTTTGTGAAGCTGTGTGAATATGTAAGATGATCTCATCATTTCCTATTTACTCAATACTTACCTGAATACGCAATATAGTGTAGCTTTTAAATGCATATGCACATGAGTAAAATGTCCTTTTGTAAGAGACTTTGCTAAAAGACTGCTTTTGATACGCAATTTCTTCATCTCCTCTTCAAACTGAATTAAGCTACTTCCTTCTTTTAAAACACAACTCACTATTTAGAAGCTTTGGCTTTGATTTCTCAGAACAGCCTTACAGGAAGAAACTATGTTCTTTTTCTATTTGTAACCATATTTCTGAAGACAAACTTGTACTGATTTATTTTAATTTTCTAACTGAAATAGGTTCCTGTGAAGAACACTGACTGTTTCTTCTTTTTCCCCCTCCTTCATTCCACCGCTACAAGAATATTGCTGTGCACAAAGCTACCAAGGAAAACTGAAATCCCTCTGTTGGGAACTGTGTACACAGCAATATATTCATACTTTGAGAAATAAGTGAGGGTTTTTTTTTTTTATTTCTTAGCATGACATACTGTGCACTTCTTGCATGCCAACCACTGAATTCAGATTGAGGAACTAGGTAACATTTCAGCAAATTTTAATCAGGTTTAGCATCCACCATTTTAGGGAATGTATCTGTGCAGCTGACATAAAGGTCACCAATTTTAAAACATTAACCCTCAGTTCGTCCCTTTGCTTAAAGGGTTTCTGTGTGTGTGTGTGTGTGTGTGTATATTAATAAATTATATAACCCAATCCTGCGTAATCCCGTCACATGTGCCATCCCACCAATGTGCTCACAAGTCTCACCTTGTCTGCCATACTGGGCACTCCATGTATAACACAAATAGAAATATAAAATGATCTGCACTGCTCCTCACTGAGTGAGAGATTTACATGAAAACAAAACATCCTGGAAATTCAGGATGTAACCTGCATGGCATTACATTTTCAGAAGTTTATGCTAAACTGAAATGTGTGGTCTGTTGCTAGTTAGAAAACATAACTTCACAATCAGACCTTAGAGTGGAGTGATTCTTTACTTTCATTTCTTCTCAAAATTAGTAACTTTATTATACATGCAAACTGAAGATCTTTAAAACGAAACAGGGCTTTACTCAGTAACACTAGGTTATCAATAAACTGGGATAATTTCCCTCCCTGATGCCTCCTTCTAATTGCCTTTTTTGCCTCAAAATTCTCATCTAATTTCTAAGTTGCAGGTTGACAATGGAGCAGTAAAAAAATACTGTAAATTAGAAAACATTTCAAATTTTTTTTCATTATTTTCTTTCCTCACATTTAGAAATTTCTTTCCAAGGTATACTGTGAATTTTCAGAACTGACTTGGGGATGCCTAGTGAACTCTCAGAGGAGGTAAGAACCAGATTTAGCAGCACAGTGCAGCTTGCCTGCCGAAGAATCTCTTTATAGAGAGAATTTTTATATTGAATCGTGGGACTTCCTTCAGATCGTGGTCCACAAATCTCTTATATGAAATGTGCTTTAGACAGATGCAGCAAAGAAAATTCTGTCTATCTGGTAGTATATCTGAGCTGGCCAAAAATAGAGTGGGAATTTGCAGGTAGATGAACTTTATGGAAAGTTCATTTTTTAATACAGTATTTCAGACATTCTTTGGATGTATTCTTTGTACTTGGGAGCCTGAACTCTGAGTGTATATGGTTTGTATATAGCTCTGATGCAGTGAATTCTCATTCGTGAGAAAGCAGGCTTCTTTTCCTCTTTTCCATAGTTCTGAAATGAATGCTCTGTTCAGTCCATGACACAGACTTTTCCAGCGGTGCAACAATATAAAAGTTACTGAAGGATGAAGGACTTGTCTAGGATGAGCAAAAGAGCTGGAGAATCTGGGTCCTTATAACTATCACTATGCAGAACTGCAGTGTGTCCTTCAGCCCCTGGCTAGTGACTCACCTGGTACTTTGATTTTCAAATGTGTATGTGGACAGCTGTCCTTTGGCATCTGTGTAGCATGGTAAACTCCCTAGATAAAAACTTTTCCAAGGAAGACAATGGTTTATGTAGTAGGTACAAGTGTAGACAGATTTTACTAGCTTCTGCATGCAGCATGGGTATTCATGTTTCCAGAAGAGAGACAGTACCACTCCACACTTGTGTGCACATCAGTTTTACACTCAGCTGTGAGCAGAGAATTCTGAATGTCCTGTTTTACTGAAATGGAAATGCCTACCATAATCAAAACTTACAGCAGTGCTTTTCTTCCCTTATTCTTCATAACTGATAAAGTTGGGCTAATTTATGTGAGATTGTTTTCTAAAGTGGCTTACAATATTGGTTTGACAGAAATGCTGCGTAGTCAGTTGTTCATATTTTATCTTTATTCTGCTGTATAATGAGGTTTTGAAGACAATGAATTATCATAGTAGAATATGTAGAGCTTGAAATACAGAAGTAAAGATTTAGGGGAAATATTGATGTCTGCTAGTAGCAAACTTAGTTCACTAGAGACTGCTGAAAAAAACAAGACCCAGATACAAATATTTATTTATATTAGAGCTGAACAAAACTTGCGCTTTACATTCACTTTACATGGCACTATTTTACATGCATATTTTTCTCTAGTAGTTGAAAAATTGCAGTGGGGATTGGGGGATCCCTCCAATGTAAAGAAACATCACTGTTTGTAAGACTGCCTTTGTAAACATCTTTTTCTGTAGCTATCTGCTGTACACGGATTTAGATATAGATACATTCATATATATAATTGGGGGTATAGACGTTTGGTTAACTTGAAAGCTCCAAAGTGTCATTTGTCACATTTATGGTAGGAATTTTAACTGCCTTAAATACTTATCCTTTTCCAAAGTGACTTTTTTCTTTCCTCTCTACCAAAAAAAAAAAAGAAAAAAAAAAGAAAAAAAAAAGGAAAATGTACTTCATGAAACTATTGTATATGAAGCACTTATTAGCCGTAATTAAATGGACAATATGAATTTACTACGTCTTTAGGACTCTGGCTTGTTCTGGTTTAGAGCAAGATGATTAATGCAAATACATATTACTTGAGATAACCATTTAGCAGCTAATTTAGCCAAATTTATTACAGCAGTTAGAGGTTTTTCATTTTCGCAGACGGAGACAAGGACATGACAAAAGCAGGCGGTGACTGTGAAGGCACACTGCCCTCTAGTGCACGAAGCTTTGTGGGAATTGGGAGGCAGGCAGGGAAGAAAAGGGCTCCAGCGACAACAGTGCCCAGATTTTGTGTAGTTTACAGGTTTTCTAAAACCCTTCTGCTCCCTTCCACTGAAAGATTTGCCTTTCATTCCCTTCTCCTGACACGGAAGAATCAGATACAAAACAAATCCGTTCCAACTTGGCAATATTTTGTCTGAAGTATTACTTTAAACATCTGTATTTTTAAGCCGTCTTGCTGTGAGCATGTAATAGCACCGTTTCACGTTACTGATTGCTTTTACTTCTTCCTCTGAGTCCTAGCATATTTCAAGCATCGGAGGGAGCTGTCACTCTTTGGCTCTAACCAAGCCATTCTGTGCCTCCCTTAGGCCTCTTTCTCAGCCTGTTGGTGGATTTACTTTGCTTTGGTAGAAAGTAAATTCTCCAAAGACTTTTCCCCTGCTGACCAGTGGAGATTTGGTTCATCTGAGAACTGTAAATTCTGTTTGACAAGATCAAAGAAACAGATGTATAAGTTCAGTGGTTGATATCGCCTGCAATGAGGAGAAATGATCAAAGCAGCAGGGGTAGAGTATCTTCCCAAACCTTTCAAATATCCAGAATCTCAAAGAGGTCTACCTAGGAGCTATGAATAAATCACATATAAATTTGCCTCTTTTTTTTCCTTTTCTTTTTTTACAGTTTGACATTGAGTGCATTGGAAATGTCCACGCAGCAATAAGTATTCCGAGAACCACAGAGATTTTTGGTTTTTGGGGTTTTTTTTTACTTTTCTTCTTCCACCAGAGTTTCCAAAAGCAGAGTAAAATTATACTTTAAAAACTTGTAAAACGTGATGCTAGTTATACTGAATTTCAGATCCTGTTTGTCATCTCACTGGCATTAAATCCAGAGGAAGCCAAGTATCTTCTCCTTGCACTTGTGGCATGTTGTACAATGAAGGTCATTTTACCACAATTCTAACATGTACTCTATCTTGTTTGTGTTTTGTTTGTACTTTCCTGTCAGTGCTGAATAAGGGTCAGTGTGTAACAAAGTATTACCGCTGGATGCAGAAGAATGGAGGTTATATCTGGATACAATCTAGTGCAACCATAGCTGTCAACGCCAAGAACGCAAGTGAGAAGAATATCATTTGGGTCAATTACCTCCTTAGGTAAGTCTCCCAGGCACTTCTCTCACTTGAACTGCTGTCTCTGATGCTTGTCTGTCGGTGAGAGGTCTAGGGAAAAAACAACAGCCTACCAGAGAAAGCTAAGAGGAAGAACTTTTCATATAGTCCACGTCAAAAGCCGTGCCATTTTGTTATAGCTATTGAGGCATCTCAGCACATGAGAATATTCTTGAATTATTATGCTGCCTCAGTCTTGAAATAAGCCCTCCAACATTTTATTGTATGCCCTGAAATCTACTCAATCTGAGCTCAAAGATAAAAATTATCCACACCAACTTTTAGTAGCTATGTTATAAAATCTGGTATGAAGTGTTTGGCACTGTTTTATTTGGATATTAAAAATGCAGGGAAGCAAACTGCTGGTATGCCAAAAAAAGTTATCTCTGAAAGGAATTTGCCAGTTCATTCCAGAGAGAGGAACTTTCTTAGAACAAAAAAGGCTCAAACTACTTGGTTGTTCCTATAAGCATTGGATAATATTCACACTGAAAAATGCAAGATGGGATTTAAAAATAAAAGTACTATAAAATACTATTTGAAGCTATTAGAATTATTTTAAATAGAGATAGTAGTAATGGCTTGAATGAAAGGCTGTTCCCTGAGAAATCATATTTTGCCGAAGTATTTTTAAAGGACTGGTTTCAGAGCTCAAGGGAAAACCAACAGTCACTGAGAGACAGTGAATTATAAACCTGACCTTTCCCATCTGAAAATACCTTTCAACACATTCTGTTTTGTGAAAATGTTCGATAAGTTTGGGAGATTTTCTGTTTCATTCCAAAGCAGAACAAACAAACAAATAAAATTTGAAACCTTGAGATTGTCATGAAATGCAGTTGTCATTTTCTGGCCTGTTCTCCTTTTAAGTTGCTTGTCATGGTTTGTTACATTCCCTTTGATGCCATGAGAGTTCAAAGTGATGTCTAGGGGTTAGATTGTGACTTATTATGCCAAGTCCAGCAAGCCCTGAAGAGACTGTGCCTGCCTAAACTTGCATGTTGAAACGCTTTTGATTCCCCTTTTGGGGAAGAGAAGGAAGCAACCCCTGGCAGGAGAGCATTGAAGAGGTACTGTGCGAAACCTTGCGTGGCAGTGGAGTTTTCACTGGGACTTGCAATTTTTTGGCCTGATATGATTGAGCACAGACTTTTCTGAATATATCCTTACCCTGCTACCTTTTCCTGTCCCTTTTTTGCAAGTGTGAGGCAGAACGCAGCATTTCAAGAGGTTGGCTTAAGGCTGACAATTCAGGACTGGAAGTACAGCTTCACTGCCCCGGTCCTTAACAGGGCTGCAAAATGCCCAGAAATGTTCTCATATTTCCAGCTCTAGCTGTAAAAGTCATCCATAAGAATTATGAACAGCTGCCTCTGTCCCCTTTGCTGCTCTCTAGACAGTAGGTGAACCTAGTCCACAAATATCCCCAAAAATAATTTTCTCTACAAGCAGAATATACCTACCAAAAAAAGAAAAGCTGTGTGGTCTTCCCCAAGACTCCTCCCAGAACCTGATTTTTCTAGTGTATTCCATTCACCGGTCTGTTAGAGAAATACTAACATCTTCACTGAATTTGTATTTTTAATTTAGATTTCTCCTTGTACTGGAATCCACAAAAGATCCAAATGTCCAAATAATATTTTAATAACAGATCAGGGCATAATTAGGTCTACTCTTAGCAGGAGTACTGGTCTGTATACATTTCCATGCATTAGAAAGTATGATTCAGCTGTCTGTAAAAGGATAGACTAATTATAGTGACAGGGAGGATTAATGCTGTTCTTGTTCTAGCAACTTGTTATTCACAGTGTGAAAGCCCTCAAACATCTTTTGCTTGGAGGGGGCAGATTTGGAGACTGCCCTGGGATGCAACAGAATAAAGTCACTTTGTCAGGACAAAGCCATAAAGATGATAATCGTAACATGGCATCTCAATGTGAACTGTGTGAACTCTGAGTTTTCACAGTACTCTCTAAGAGGCTGAATATGAATGTAGTGTCGTTGTGATAGTGTGTCAGGCACCCCCAGTGCTGCCTCGTATTCTGTGCAGGACTGTGGGTTTTCTGTTTTACCAGACTTGCATTTGAACTGTGTGGAAATGCTCACCTATTGAAAAATTATTAATGACTTTGTTATTTTTAATATTCTCTACCACTTACGTTTAGCTATGTCTGTTCCCCTGCATTTGCATGCATTTTAGAAAGGAACACATTTTAAAAGGTACAAGCCAAGCAAAATCATAGTGTTGTAGGGGTTTTCTTCCATTTCTCTGGCAGCATAGCTTTTTTAGATTGCAGTCATGTTCATTGCTAACAAGTCACAGGTGAGCACCACATGAGCAGATGAAGATATGATTATAATGGGTGTGTTGACAGTTCTTTATCCCTAACATATGCATCTTAACATGCACATGTGCATCTGTCACATAGTTAGAGAGGTTGTTTTTGGTTTCTTGCTGATGTGGATGTATGTGTGCAGTGTTTAAAAATATATAACCTATTTTATCCAATTTTTGGCCAGATTCTTTGGAGCAGTGGTCACCTCTTTAGCCCTAGCTGAGCACCTTCTTAATAACTTCATGTATGATATGCTTGATTAAAATGTGGAAAACTGGAATGTTGAGAAAACAAGTATTGAAAGAACTCTGGCAAGGTTATTTCTACAGAAATTTCTACATTTCTACAGAGATAACTCTAATAGACATTGCCAGTAGAAGTGAAACAGATTGGAAAAGTTAAAACACCCTCTCTGTCCTCCCAGGCACAGTAATGGGGTCGAAATCGAGATATTCTGTTGTTGGATGATTACATGGTATATCTTTACTGCTAGATATCACACAAGCCATGATGTCTCACTTCAGCAAGGATGCTTTGATAGCTCTAAAACTTCACTAGAATCAAACAAGGTTTAGTAACTGGTCAATAAAAGTATTTGACTGCAGTATTAAAATAAACCTTCACAAAATTCCTGCTGTGAAGCTCTGAAGCCAAAAATATATGTTTTTGTGTTTGCTCTGCTGTTCTTCCTATTTATATTCTTTGTTCCTGAACTTTGATATGAAAAGAGGAAAAAATCATGAAACTGCAAATCATCCATTTGTTTATATTTGCTGTATCCTCTTCAGTAACCCAGAGTACAAGGACACTCCAATGGATATTGCACAACTTCCTCATCTGCCAGAGAAAACCTCAGAATCCTCAGAGACCTCTGACTCTGAATCAGACTCAAAGGACAACTCAGGTAACACACATGGTGTACCTTTACACCCACGAGAGGTTTACATCATGAAAGCCACACGGTCAGCTTTCCAGTTGCTTTTACTTCTCAAGTGTTGGTTGTTCCATTATAATAAAAAAAAAAAATCATATGAAATTAAATTGAAAAACACTAGCAAAATCTTTTAATGACCTTAGCATTTCCATTTCCTCAGAATTTCTCTTCAGTTTCTTCATGTGTTCTTGCCTACATAGCACCAAACTAAATATTTGATTTCCCAGCTGTGCTTATGAACAAGTACTGTGCCTTGTGCAAAGGACTTGGGTTTGCAACTGTTGAATATAATTCAAGTTCTTCTCTTCCCAGAGTAGGCAGACATTCTACAGAGAGGTCTCTACTGTCAATCTTTATGACTCTTTTCCCTGTATAACTACATTCTTGAAGAGTCTCACTAGGGGGCAGTGAAGATTGAAAAACTTGAGAGTTTTCTTGGGTTAAAAGTTATATTTAATTAAAATGTGTTGGTTCAAGAACTTGTTTCTAAGCTCTTTAAGTCTGGGAGTTCAGCAGTTTATTAAAAGCTGAGTGTGCTTGTCAAGCTCTATGTGTAAATTAGTCCTACAGATGGTCCAGTGCACAGATGGTTCACACATTCCCTGTTAGTTTTAATAGTGGTTACCTAGGCACAGGTGCAAATCATCTGGCCTTGAAACAAGTGTGTTTTCCTGTAGCCCAAGAAGTAAACATGTTACCCAGCTGTTGTATGTGGATGGATGGATGGATGGATGGATGGATGGATGGATGGATGGATGGATAGATATGATTTTTCTCTTGTGTCTATGATAACAACCAAAAACAGTCTATAGAAAATGGATCACAGTACTATAAATCAAGAAAAAGCAAGAACAGGATCAGGATATTATATTATATTATATTATATTATATTATATTATATTATATTATATTATATTATATTTGATATATCATATATATACGATATATCAGATATATCATATTATACTATACTATATTATATGGCTGTTCTCTTTCATCTTTTGCTTTTATTTGTTCTCCTTTGACAGCTTGGTTTAAGTCAATGTGCAGGCTTGCTGACCACTGTCATTGGGGATTTCTTTATCCATTCCCAGTGCTTCCTTTATGCTGTCTTGTTCCTAAATAGCCAAATAACACATATGTGGAGAACAGTTTGCATTACCCATATGCACTGGAATTTTCTCCAGGTGAGAACATGAGAAGTACATGTATATTCATGACTTCTAAAGCTGATGCAGAGCAAGACAGCATTCAAGGGTGCAGAGATATCTACATCTCAGAAGGAGATGTCTGGGAGTCTTGGAAGACAGAAGACACAGGGACTTGTTTATTTCAAAGGAATTAAATAAAAATGCCAAAGGACCTTAAACTGGAACAGTATTTTGGATGAAACCAACAAGTTCAGTTTAAGCTGTGATATAATCCCAGGCAAATATTGTGTAGCTTTAGACCGCCTCACTCTAGGACCACTCTTTCCAGCTAGAAACTATGGCCTTTAAAGAAAGCATCTTCAAAAAAAAAAGGAAGAAAAAATTATAGGACAAATTCAGTCCTAGATGGAACAAAAAGCTGGATGAGACGTAGGGGTTTACAGCTGCTATTTACTTCCTATAGATTTTATTTTTCAAAAGGAAGGGTCTCTCTGCTGATGCTCACACAAGCAAAAGTCCTACTAAGTGACCTGTGAAGTGCAGTGTCCTGGAATGCTCACTCAGCTTTCCTGTCAAACCCACCTTCAGCACTTCTGGGAAATAGTTTGGTATTGACATGGCTCCAGAAGTAACCAGTATCTTTAGAGGCAAACCAATCTTTCCCCTCTCCACCTAAAACAAGGATATTGAAAAGGGTAGTACTTGGCTCTGATGAGTGAAAAACGTCTTTTATTAAGCAACAAAAGATTTCTGGCTGGTCTGTAAAGGACGGGGTTTCCTGAAACCTTCCGTGACCCTTTCAAACATAGTGTGATAATGGAGCATATTCAGTCTCAAAGCTGCTTTGGCTCTCCTAGTCCAGTGGGCTAGAGTGTTTATCTCACCCGTATTAGAATTATAATTAAGTGAATTCAGGCAAGAAGAGTGACAGCTTCTCAGTGCTGTAGCTGTGCTATTTTCAATGGTCTTTAGATGATTTGGATCAATCAAGAATTTAATTCACTGGCTGATTATTTTTTTCTGTTTTTTTTTTATATTTGTTGTCCTTCAGGAGAATATAAGACAATCTAGCAACATAGCAAAATTGTTTTAACAATAAACCGGTTTATTAATTCATTTTAACTGGTTTATTCATTCATTCAGATTTATACACGAGTTGCTTCTCCTCTCGCACAGGAGGAAATCAGTAGTAATTCCACTGCACCCAGAGACTGCCTCTTCAAAAGTGGCAATGGTGAGAGGAAAATGAGATGAGAGTGCAAGAGTCCTCATTAGTAAACAGTTGTATAGTAAGTACGTGGATGCCTGCCCACTGTAGGAGAACATGGATGTGAAAGAACAATCACCAGAACATAACAGTGATAATGGGATTGTTCACTGACTCCTCTTTGGATGGCACGGCTACAATGCCGTTGTGCTCACAGCTGTCAACGTGATTCTTGTCCAGTGAGCAGATGAAAAGGCCCCCTCAATCAAGGTGCAGCCACATAGCATAGGCTTCTAGTGCATTAACAGTCCTGAGTCAGAGACATTCACAGTGATCAAAACTCTCCCAACACAACACTGGAGAAAAAATGCAGCACTACAGAAGAGAACGTCTTTTGCTAAAAAAGGTTAAAGCAAATCCAATCGCATTGGTAGGTAGAAATCTGGACTTGGATTATAATATTATGTTCCTATTGCTAATGCTTTGTTTCACTTTCATTTTCTCCAGAGGACAATGAGAACTCAAAGTCAGACGAGAAAGGAAACCAGTCAGAAAACAGTGAAGACCCTGAATCGGACAGGAAAAAGTCAGGAAATCAGTCAGATAATGAAATGAACTGTAATGAGGATGGGAACAGCTCCAGCAACCAGGACAGCAGGGACAGTGATGACAGCTTTGAAAACTCAGACTTCGAGAATCAAAAGGCCCCTGAGGACAGTTTTGGCACTCTTGGCTCTATGCAGATCAAAGTGGAGCGCTACGTTGAGAGTGAGTCAGACTTGCGGTTGCAGAACTGTGAATCACTGACCTCCGACAGTGCCAAGGACTCAGACAGTGCAGGTGAAGTAAATGCCCAGTCTTCCAGCAAACATCAGAAGAGGAAGAAGAGGAGAAAAAAGCAAAAGGGAGGCAGCATGACCCGGAGAAGGCTGTCAAGCACCTCAAGTCCAAATGGACTTGACTCAGCTTTGGTGGACCAGCCCCAGCTGCTCTCGTCACCAAACAGTGCCTCAGTGCTCAAAATTAAAACAGAAATCTCAGAACCTATCAATTTTGATAATGATAGCAGTATTTGGAATTACCCACCCAACAGGGAAATCTCAAGGAATGAATCACCCTACAGTATGACCAAGCCCCCCAGCTCCGAGCACTTCCCTTCCCCCCAAGCCAGCAGTAGTTTACACGTCTCCATTCCAGACTCTGTTCTCACCCCACCAGGGACTGAAAATACTGCCAGCCGTAAAACTCAGTTCAGCACCTCATCCAACTCGGCCTTGGCTCCAGTGTCCTCTGACCCTTTGTCACCCCCACTTTCAGCATCTCCAAGGGACAAACATCCAGGAGGTCCCACAACGTCCAACTCTTTGTTGTACACTGGGGATCTGGAAGCCCTTCAGAGGTTACAAGCAGGCAATGTGGTGCTTCCTTTGGTTCACAGGGTAACGGGAACCCTTGCTGCGACCAGCACTGCTGCTCAGAGGGTCTACACCACTGGCACTATTCGGTATGCTCCAGCTGAAGTTACTTTAGCCATGCAGGGCAACCTCCTCCCCAACACCCATGCTGTTAACTTTGTTGATGTTAACAGCCCCAGCTTTGGGCTGGATCCTAAAACACCGATGGAAATGCTCTACCACCACGTTCACCGACTCAATATGTCGGGACCGTTTGGAAGTGCTGTGAGCGGGGCCAGTCTGACCCAAATGCCTGCAGGGAATGTGTTCACAACTGCCGAAGGACTTTTTTCCACTCTTCCATTTCCTGTGTACAGCAATGGCATTCACACTACACAGACTCTGGAACGGAAAGAGGATTGAAATATGACCACATACTGTGTTCAGTGTTATACTCTGAGGCATAGACTATGTTTTAATTTAGACCTTTAATTCTAGCACTTTGAATTTGAGCAGGTCAGCTTATTATCTCAATATGATGGTCCCCATTTCATTCCCTTTCTCTTTAACTTGACTTATTCTTTAATGTAAAGATATTTTTTTATTTTTGCCTTCAGAGAGTCGAAGTACCAGTTGCCTGCCATTTTGTCTTCTTCTAAGATGTGTGTTTTTTCCTTTGCATCTTTATTAAGATGCCTTTAATATGTGTATGCCTCTGCCATAGAATACTCAGTGTTGTGGTAAAGAGATTTTAAAGTGACAACCATTGGTTTTACTTCAAAATGATCTTGATATGATCAAGATTAAAAGAGACAAGCATAAACAATGTGCCCTGTTTGACTAAGTCAAATGAAAAGGGGGTTTTGTTCCTAATTCCTTTAAAATAGGGGATAGTATTTTAGAATTTTATGCAGAGTTTAATTCTCTTTTTATGGTTAAGATTTTCTTACTTGCACATAAAATAATTTGGGTTCTTAAAAAGTTAATTTCTGGCCTGTGACTAGAATGTTAAAAAGTTGGACTAAATGTTAATTACAGAAAATTTAACTTAATTTCTAAAACCATGGTGCTATCATTTATTAATCTGTAATGTCTCCATACAATATGCAGCTTGTGGGCTGGGTTTTTTGGAAAGAATGTGTTCCGTACTGGTTTATAGTGGGGTGCTGCAGTCTCCTTGGTTAGTTAAGACAAAAGCCCTCATTAACATTTGCTGCAGGACTTAAAATTTGTTACCTCCAAACTAACAAGCATAGCCTCACATCAAATTTAAATGGGTCAGGAAGCCTTTTACAAAAAGAGCTTAAAAACAGAAAACTCAATTTAATTGACGCGAGGAGCAGTTTCTTAGGTGCATATTGTTTTGCTTTATTTTTTTTCTCAGTGTAACTGAGGCTAATTTTACAACATCAAATAACACTTCAGAGTAAAAAAAAAAAAAAAACAAAAACAGAAGAACTATTTAACATGTTTTATTTTGTTTTTCATTTAATATTATAGAGGGAAGGTTGTAAATTTCTTTTTGTTCTTTGATTTGGGTATTTTTTTGTTGTTTTCTTTTTCCTTATTTCTAGTGTTGAAACCAATATGTTTTAAAACTAAAGGATGGGTTAATAAGCTTGAAATAGATAACTACAACTGAAAACTGCACATTAAGTAAAAGAAAAGAAATCTCCTATTTTGTCTTTGTTGCCAGAAATCACAGTGTAGTGTCAAACACTCCAAATGACTGTCAAATATAAATTCTTCTTCCACTCCATCTTTGGCAGCTGTTTGTTAAGGCATCTAATAACAGATGTGAGAACTGTAATGTGTACAATGTGTAAGTGTCCTTGGCTGTCAGTCCCATTGCAGTTTCAATGTGTGTTACTATATGCAGTATATACTAAGCTAATGTAGTTGTTTTGTCCTTTGTCTTCTCTGTGCTTTATCTCTAGTCCGGAGTGGTAAAGTCCCATTCCTGCAGTCCTAGTGAACCAGTGATTCTTGGGGGTTAGTGGTTTTTGTGTGGTGGCCTTCCTCTGTAATGTCACCTTATGCTGCTTCCACTGTCTGTATACCTCTTAATTTCTGCTGTTGCTTTGCTGTTGTGTATTCTCAAACCTCTCTCTCCCCCTTCCTTTCTCCCCTCCTCCTCCACACGTTTCCCCTCTCTCCTTCTCTCGCTCTCTCGTTCTCTCTTCTTCACTCTCAGAGATAAAAGACTCTTAACTAGCTCAAGGTTAATGGAGCCATTTTTCCCACAGAGGAATTCTGGGTATGACTTACTCTTCCAGTGTACCCCACAATGCACTACAGAGTAATGCTCAGATATATTAAGCAAATTGACGCCATATAGCCTCAGTTGTTAACATTCCCAGAGTCCTTGTGCTCGAACTGTAAGCAGAGGGTGCATTTCTTTGGTTTTCTCCTAGGTAGGCTGGCAGAGCAATATGTAGAGCAATTACCAGTGAGATAGGAAATTCTTTCAAAGGTCAACTGGCGTTGTTTAAAAAGGAAACTGAGCTTAGAATTGTCATATATACTCACTTATGTGTGCAATGCTAATGTATTAACTCAGCTGTCCTTCGAATTTTTGATCACTCACTGCGTTGAGTCAGTTTCTGCAGTAGCTTTGAATTTGAGAAGTAAGTCCAAGTCACAGAGGGGTGATAGCAAAAAAGGAATTGGACGCTAGAAATTTAATTAATGAGCTTTTTAAAGGTTCCATGGGAAGGATTTATGTAGGTCTGAAAAAGGCGAGAAAGCTGATTGGGAAATTCAAAGTTTAATTTTGGAAGCTCTGCTCTAGCTATGGAACAATCAAAGGACTGCACCTATCAGCTACAAAGAACAGCTAGACAGCTGTTGTTGTTTTGGGTTTTTTTTATAAATGTTTCTGTGTTGTGTCAAAATGATTTCTGGTGATTTAAACTAACAGATAATCACAGCTGCTGTCTAAATCCATAGTGTTTAAAATTACAAAATGAAAAAAAAACTTCATTACCTGTGAAGACTGTGTCTGTGTTTTTAACTATTTCTTGTACAAATATATGAAATCTTTTATGAGGAGACTGGTGCCAAGTAGCTGAATAATGGGGAAAGGGATTCTGTTCGTATAAATCTTAGCAGTGTTACCAACTCTACAATATAAAAAAATTAAAATGTTAAAAAGTGACAGCTATGGTACATTTATTTTGTGTTAAGCTAACTGAATCTAACTTCTTGAGTGCCTGGCTTATTTGAAACATTTTTTTCATTGATCATTGATAATGCTGCAAATCAGAAATGTACATACTTCATTTACAACAGGGTTCTTTTTATACTTTTGTAGATTCTCATACATGTCATACATGGTTGTCTTTATGTAACTTAATTTTTTTTCATCCCGCAGGTGCCATTTTCATAATAAACTTCTCTTGGATTTGTTACTATCTGGCATCATTTCTTTTACATATAACCATCCTGACTAATGAATGCTGGTAGTATTTGTTTGAGCAGGTATTTTTTAATCATTTTGTTTAAAAAAAAAAAAAAAAAAGAAAATAACTAAAATACTAGAAAAAAATAATCAAAACTGAAAGAGGAAAAAGCAAGATTTTATTAACGCTTGTGAAATGAAGAAGAAAGGAAGCTGTCAAGATGTAGGTTAAGAATGCTAATCCAAATACTACAACAAACTTGCCACCATTCTAAATTCTCAGTTACCCCAACTCATTGTCATATTGAGCATTTTTATGCACATTATCAAAGCTGAATAATGGACCTGCAACATTAACCACTATAGAAAGTGTGCATTTTTTCCTTGATTAATGCACACTGGAAGAGGTCAGCTTTTGTACATTAATCATTTAAAATGCACTTTATATTTTCATTTTTGTACTCTCCAATGTTACAGTGGAACTCTTCAGTCACATTATATCCTACCTAGGCTGCTGATTCTTTTAAATGTGTACTTTCTTTCCCCAGAGTGGAGACCTGTAAGTTGTTGGTGTTGTGCTGCGAGGCATTCTGCCTTTCCAACTGAGGACAGAAACATTTGCCAGTGCAGGACTGACAAGGCAAAAAGCCTTGGTCCCACAAATGAGAGGGGGAAAAAAAGTCAAATACAGTTTTGATTACACAGATATCCACACACAGTGGCTGGCCATAAAAAGGGAGCAATCTGCAAAAATTCTGAGGAAAAAAAAAGCCCAAGGCAAGTGGTTTTGGTCTCTGCAGTGAAAAGCAGGGAGAAGCTAAGGCACGGGCGATGCCTCCCCAGGTACCCATCACTGTGTGCCGATTCTGTGGCTGCTGCTGCACCTACAGAGGATGGGCTGGGGGTGGGACAGGAGGGGAGTGGAAGCCTTCTCACCCACTGCAGTTCTTCATTCATTGCCTTTCTTTACAGTGCCTCTCCCACCTGTGACAAATATTTCCAAATTCTGTATTTCATTTTGTAATTGCTGAGTATGCAGTCTCTTGCCAATAGCCAAGATCTCTAAACAACTTTGAGCCTAATCTCTTGTCTTCTGTATGTCCACTTAGAAATTAATGCTACTGGGCTAGTCAGTCTGGGTCAAATTCTGTTTGCTTATAGATGCTGAGAAAAACTGTCCGTTCACAGTTTGCAGCACAACTCTTTACTGTGAAAGATACACTCAGCTGAAGTAAGAGCATGTGAATCTGGCTTGCTGGGATGATTTAAAAAAAAGTATGCACAATTATAGCTCAGCGAGCCAGCCCAGTACCTTAATAGATTTAAGTCTGGCTCTTTGAGCTTCCAAGCAGTTCAGGATGCCCACTTCCCAGGCTCCAAGCATTGAGTTTGATACAACTCCAAGTTGCAGGGGGTAGAAAGAAGCAGAGGTTAGCAGTGCTGCTTTCAGCTCTGCTTGCGTGTTCCAGTTGGCAATGCATCTTGTTTATGAGGTAGCTAAGGGTGCCAATGCCAACCGAGAGGAAAACAGGATTCAAATGCAGATTGAAAGAATGACCAGAATAAAGCTTAAGGGAAGAATAACATGCCTGTTCCAAATAAGTGTTAAGCAGTATTACTAAAGCCACTAATTCCAAGAAGGGACTTGAGAGGGGCATTTCTGAGCTATTATAAGGGTTTTTTATATCTCAGCCACATTGCCTACACATGCAGCAGAGCATGGAGTTGATGGTCAAACTAAATAGACTGCTCTAAGATTTGCAGTTGAATGAGGAAATTTGTGTATTAAAGAAAATTATGGAAAGGCCATTTAATGGGGGAGATTTCATAGTGAAGCTGTTGCACTTGTCTATCTCTGTTATCTGCAGCAACTTTAATAAACAAAATCAAGTGCTTTAAAGTGTTGAGCCCTCTGAAAAGGGTTCTTTGGGGTAGGTCTAGCTGCTTTGTAATATTTGAGGAAAAACTGTTTGCCATGCAGGAAGTTGGGCAAACTTTCTCAAGTCATTTCATCAAAGAACATTTCCCAAAGCAAGTGATCTCAGTGACTACCATCTCTAGGAAATTTGTTCCTGACCCACTTGTTTTTCAAGGTGATGCATGCAGGTATTTAAAAGCTAACTGAAGGGTTGTAAGAGGAAAAGGCTCTTTCAAAGCCTCATGACTCTGAGAAGTTACAGTGAAAGAATATTTCAGGAGTACTTAAATAATCAGCTCTGACAGCTTGCACTGGTGCTTTTGCACAGTGGTCGTGTCACTGGAGTAACTGCGATGCCCCTGACAGCACATTTATTGTTATGATCCTAGGAAATGCATTAGTTTAAATGTGTCAGTGCTCTCAGAGCTATTTGCATAGTATTTTCCCTTCTTACCATTGCAATTTCTTTATTTTCATTTTAGGGCTGGGGGAGGAGGGTGGAAAGACTGGATATGCATTGTCAACTAATTTAATGAACTGTCATCTATCCAGTGAGTTTACTGAAGAGCCTACAGAAATTTTAACAAATGGGATGTCACCAGAGCCACAGATGCTCAGGTAAGATCAAACTTTTTATAAAGCATGCACATACATGCACACAAGACATTCAGATCTGCTACCCCTGAAAGCTAGTTGGGTTTTCAGACTGAGCAGGGTGGTACCTATGTATATATGCATAATAAAGGTCCCTTCCTCTCTCACCTATTCTTTCATCTTTTCATAGGTGAGAACTGGAAGCTATTTTCATAAAACCTATCAAATCACATCCACATTTTTTCAGCAAATCATAGAATCATGAGTGGTTTGGGTTAGAAGAAACCTTAAAGATCATTTAGTTCCTCTTGCCATGAACAGGGATGCCACCCACTAGATCAGATTGCTTAAGGCCCCATCCAACCCAGGCTTGGACACTTCCAGGGATGGGTTGTCCACAACTTCTTTGAGCAACTTGTTCCAGTGATTCACCAGTCTCTGAGTAAAGGATTTCTTCTAGCATCCAGTCTAAACTTGCCCTCTTTATTTTTAAAACCATTGTCCTGTCACTATTTGTCTGTATAAAAAGCCC